GCCAATGGTTCTTGGGGTAGTTTGGGTGCTGGCAACCCCGGTGGCGCGGCTGCCGCTACATGTTGAGAAGAAGCCTTGAACCCAGCGATCGCCGGCTTTTGTTCTGTCGGGGGCTGTTCATCACCAGGAAGTCCGCCCTCGTCTCGACTGGGCTGTAAGCCATGAATCTTCTCGTCTACGGTGTCCCATTTGAAGCCTTTGAGATTGAGAATGGGAACAGGTGCTGTGATGTTCAGAGGAGCATGGAGCTGCCCGTCTTTGGTTACTTCGCTAGCCATGGTGCAAGATTCGCAAGGTACTGAGTCAACAAGGTAACAGGTTGAGTTGAAAGAGAGCCTTGAAAACGCTACTTCAGGAGATAGAAATGACTGAGCTCTACGAGTCCCCAAGATACTCACGACTTTATATAGCCATCATTCAGCGGCCGAGTTTCTTCCTCATACAAGGCCCAGATATTTCGGCCCTGAGTTTCTAGTGCAGTGTGGTTGCACAACAAAGGTGCGAGGCTGGAGACGCATAGCCTATGATGCCTCACCGCTGCTGACAGCAAGGGAGGCAGCCACCGAATACGAGATCATTCAGCCACTGCACCATGCTTTTGGAGGGCTTGTAAAGGAAACAAAGTGTCGTGTTTTTACTGCGCCAAGATCACCTCTCATCCGGTCAGCGAGTACAGTCAGCTTAAGCGGGGAGGTCACCATCAGTGAGAGGAGTTGTGTATGGCTGGCTGAAGGGTCCTGATGGGATTTCTTGTTAACGGAGGCGTGGTTGGCAGACGGTCTGGATCCCTCCCGCTGCAAGCCACCTGTGGTTTTGGGGTGATGCAACACTTCACCGATATTGCACATTCCGTAAAGACAGCCAAACGGGTCAGCAGCCGTCTTTCAATTAATGCTGGGCGGGTAGGCGGTGCCCCGTTTCGACTGTCGGCAAACTCGTGGATGGCCGCATTGAATCTATCCGACTTAGGGTTTCCGCCGTCACATTCTGACCTACACCGAGAAACGCGTAGCGGGATCTTCATATTGACAGGCGGGGCCACCCTACGTAGATCAAAAAGCCACTGCTGACTGACCTGTGGTTGCCCGCGAAAATATTCAGCTGATGCGCGCGAAGACGCCACTTGGAGGAATTCGGACGACTTGGTTGGTTCGAAAGATCATCAGTTCGCATGATGCATCTGACTTAGATTTCTCACGAGAACCACATGGCAACCATTATTGGCTATAAGGTCGCGACTGGTTTGGGTGCGAGCGAAAGTGTATATACGAAATACTAGGCTGCTTTCGATATGGCCATCCTCTGGGTCTCGGGAACGGGTAGGGCTGCATTCAGCCTCTCCCCGCATCGGAAGCAGTTGTCTTTGCCTAGAGGGTCTACACTACCAATAGAATCAATTTAGTATGTCTAGTCTAGGCCTCTTAGAGAAAGGCTGAACCCTCATGAAGTAAGCCAAATCCTACATCATGCATATCACCCGTTGGTTTCCAATCAAGCATCAGCGATTGGCTTATGCCAGACTGCTCTGTATTCGTGGCTGCCTGAGAATGTTTCCAAAACGGGAGACATGTGCGCTTGTTGGGAAGATATGCTAGTAACCTGTTGCTTTTCGCCATCACCTATGTGGATGGAATCGACAATTACAGGAGGCGAGTGCCCTACCCATTTGAAAAAGTCGAAGGGTTTAAAGGAAGGAGTCCCGGATGAGGGCAGCAAGATGCTATCTTCGGGTACGCCGCAAGTCATGCAGGCGTGTTCTAGTGGAAGGCTATCGCCGCACTGCCCAGAAAGCGCGATCTTTCTTTTCTTCAGCTCCAACGAGCGCCTCATTGAGTGGAAGCTCATGGTTTTATTAGGCCAGGTCGAGGAGGCATGAATAAATCTGCGACTGATTCATTGGTAAACCCCCTGCATCGTGCCGAATTCACGGCGCTTAAGTCCATATTTGAAAGCACTACGACAAAGTCAACGGCTTATGATTCTGTTCGAGGAGAATAGGCAGCTGAGAATCGTTTAATCTTCTACTTCGCCAGGCTGCCGGACTACGCGTACTATCTCAATCAGTAATTTCACACGTCACTAACACCTCATCTTGGATATTGACTAAAGTCAAGATGTCAAGATATATACTCGTTTTAAGGGAATGAAGGTCGTACTGGATTCAAGGTTTGCCTTGTTTAATTTTCGTGTCAGTAACGACACAGTTCACAAACTTGATACGCAATTTGCCGCTAGACAAATTACACGCTATCATGAGAAGATCGGCTCTAGACGAAGCGCACTAAGCTCGCTATTCCCTAATTCCTTGAATTGTAGAGTGCTCGTTACATTTGCCAGAGTCTGGAAGTTATTCTTTGAAATTTTCGGGCTTGGCATCACTCTTTGCTTCCTTCAGTTTCTGTCCCCACACGACAAGCCTTTGATGTTAGCATATCTCACAAACCAGTTCTTCGTCTATGAAAGCTTATAGCGGCATCACTAAGGGAACTTGCGAAGGAATGAATAGTCAGACCTTTCTTTTGAAGTCTGCTCCTTGCTTCCGATTGAGATGAAATCGCAAGCCATCGTCATGGAGGCTATGTCTTCTTATGAGTAGCTCCCATGCCCCTTTTGAGACATATGCAGAATGATAGAGTAAGCTCTCGCTCTACTTTTTCAGCTTTTTGCCGTTTATATCACATGGGTATTTCATGTTGATCCCAAATACTAAATACTGTCTTTTGCATTTACAAACAATGAGCCTCTTTGGGTAGAATATCTAATTTTCAATACAAACACCCCCCTAGGAGTGTTTGAGGTTACCACAGTTTAGTACCCTGGAGCTCTCAGCGGCCAGTCTCTGTTTAAATGGATTTCATGCCAGTACTACGGCAAGCTTTGCAAGTCAACTATATTGATTCTTATCACCGTCCATCAAAAGTAACCTAGGACTATCACAGGTATCCACCTCAGTTACAGTAGTAGACGTTACAGTTGGGCGAGCTCAGTGGTTCTAAGGGTGTCTGAAGTTCATGACAGTTGACCACTCAATGGCCGAGGTCTCAACTCATCAGAATTCCCTTGGAGATAAAACAAACACCAAATGAATCAATGGTGATGACCGAATCAATAGTAAGTATAATGGAAGCCCGCTGCTGAATTAGACACTGTTCGTAGCTGAGGGCCCTTATCATCCCAAATATCGACTCTGCAGCCGCCGTGCAAAGAGGAAACGAGTCAAAATGAGTGAAAGAAAGCGAGGCAAAAATATATTTTGAGTGACGAGGACTAGAAGTGCATTCTCACTTTAATGATATGAATCCAGTTTACGAAGGGGTCATCGTTGGGTTCGAAGAGCTCGGCGGACTCCGACCCAATAGTATTGTCCCGCGCTGTCAGCGCCTCTGCTAAATTAACTCTGCAGACATTGGGTAATCCAAATCAGGGACTCTCATATGCAAGTCTTAGTAATAGACAGAGCCTTCTCTAGCAAGCGAGGGTCGTTTGCCTTTTCGCGCATCATCCTCGCTTGAGGGATTTTCATGTCTGGAAGCTATCATCAAAGGTCATTTGTAGGCTAATCCCAAAACTCGTGAAACAGTGAAGATGGATTCATGCCAAAGCGAGGGCAACCCTGACATGTACGGTTTAGGGATTCGCGTCGCTTTCTATCTTCAGTGGTTCGGAACTCTGTTTGCGGCTTGGTTAGCCCCAACAGAGGTCCCTGGTCTTCGTTTGTCCAATGCATTCTTCATCTCTGCAACCTTCTTGGCCTTACTAATTCAGACTTCGCGAAACACGCTTACGTCGTTAGACATTTATATCACATTGCTACTGACATACGGTGCTTATTATTACTACGTGCCCGTCTATGCCTGGCGCTTTGTTTCTGGATGCAGCCCGTTCTGGGACCCAACAAGGTGGCCTATTGTACGAGCCACTGCGCAATACACAGTTTTGAACTTATGGCTTCTCATTGCCGTGACTGGCTATCAAATGTGGTTCTGGACAACAGGTGTGAAGTCGCTGCCGAGGACTGACACAGGTTGTCGAGAGTACGGCTTCTTCTTTGCCAAGGTGCCTTTGAAGGACGGGCTATTTGTTGCAGTTAATATCTTCTTTGCCATTGTTTTGCTCCTTTGCTGTTGTGGAAGCCTGGTATTTATGATGCGTGTCATGAGGCCTCCCAGGCGGCTGAGAAGAAAAGAAAGAAGGTTTAAGAGAAAAAGGGAGAAGGACAAAATAAGGTATGTACAAGTGCCTTTAGCCCGAATCTGGGACAACTTGAACTGATCCGCCATTATTGTAGCATTGAACGAGTAACGAACCTGAGACTCTTGCAGACAGTAAGCAGCTTAACGGTTGCGAGTGTTGTGACTGCTGCAGTGGAACTCACTATACGGTGGAACAAATTGACGGGAGTAAACGATGTCTCGACTGCCGGCCAAACTATTCCCGTTATCATTGCTGCAGGCCTACTGGCGCATGTTATATACGTCTTCCTATGGCCCGAGCACGACGCAGCAATCTTCCCGGAGCAATACCGCCGGAGTGATCCTCACATGCCGTTCTCACCAGAGACTGAGTTTCCACGGCCACCAGATGGTCCTCGTCCGGTGCCGCCTCATTATCCACCCGGCGTTCATGGTCCACCCGGCGTTCATGGAAGACCGGCGCCCCGAAATAATCTTGAGCCGACTGATGCACATGAGCCGCCCGTGATGGAACAACTGCCACGGCGTGACCCGGACCGGTAGTAGCATAGGAGCGACGAAGGCAGCAGTGATATCTAGCTGTTGTGGGATGACATGGAAACAACTATTTATCCAAATGGGCTGTCGATCACGTTTGAACGTTATCAGAGAAGGCACAAATGGCTGCAGTGTCCAATACAAACTCGCTTAAAACGCTATATGAGCAAAATTACATGCTGTCATGAGTCGATTGGCTCGGTGTGACCACTCTATCCGCCATCCCAGAACTTGAAAACGGCAAAGTAGCCACCGCGCTTGCCTTAATGTCTAAGTTGTCGCCATTTTCTCTGGCGATGCGTTCGAGTCTGATTGCTTCTCTCCAGCACTTCGAGGCTTAGCGTCAGTCTTTGCGTCCTTTGGTTTCTGTCCCCATACGACAAGCCTTTTTCTGTCAGCGAGTCCCACAAACTGTTCTTCGTCGATAAAACTTACAGTGGCATGTACATGTGGACCTGCATTCGAGGTGTTAGTCCACTGACCAGTTTTCAACTCTGTATGACCAGAACTAACCTTTGGATTGAACGCGTCTTTTCTCGCAGCCTCGCAAAACTCAGCTATCTCGGCATCACTCATTCCCAGCATGGCAAATAGCTTTGTGCTGGCGCCTTCTAATATCTCATGCATGTCTCTCAAGCCCATGACGCCTACCTCCTTCGCTATCGCGCCCTTAGCCCACGGCCCAATCGGACTCTTCAGCTTGAGTTCGCGCACATGCTTGAAACCGGCGTCATGAAGGCGCTCGGCATTCTTTGCACTGGCAGAGACGTCGATGCCGATAAGTGCGGCAGACGACTTCATCTTGAAGCCCCACTCCTCCATGGGAAGACCAGTCGCGCTGCCGTCATCGCAGCCGAGGGGGAGGCAGAACTCCTGCAGCTCGATCCAGCCACCCGGCTTGAGAGCCTTGTAGGCCTGCTCTACGAGGCGGCCCCAGTCTGCCACACCCATGCCGAGGGATCTCGTGTGGATGAAGTCGAACTTGCCGGTGAAGTCTGATGGCCAGGGCTGATTCGCGTCGTCGACGAGCCATGAACAGTTGACTGGCACGTACTCTGGTTGAATGGGGCTGAGGTCCGTGCCGATGATGTTTGTTTTGGGGTGTGCGAGTGCGAACTCAATAGCCCAGGCTATGGCGTGTAAGTAAAGGGCAATAATCGTGCCTTTCATGTTTCGGGTTCTTACCACCGGTGCCTGCGCCGATGTCTAGCGCATCGGTCATGTCTGCTGGCAGAGGAGATAGGTACAATCGACCGTTGAAGGTCTTGGTCCATATCATGTGTTGCAGTTCTGCGGAATTAAATATCAGATGCGAATTTCTTTGCCTGAAACTATAATGCTCACCCAGTCGATCCATCTCTTGCTGCAAGACAGTCAGTATTGCTACGTCTATTGTACTGAAAGCAAGTCGTCACCTCATCATTAGGGAGAGCATATTCTTATTCAAGTCAGTGCTAGATGCCCTACATCCAGATCCCGTTGATGGCAGCTTTCACACTTACGGCTCTCTGCGTAGGCATGATATCTTCGACCATGTTCATATCGATAGTTGGTAGCCGATGCCGTCATCGACGTTGCGATGCTTGACGTCTGTCAGCCAACGGCTTGGTAAATGACTTACATCTCGGCGTGGTCATGTGAACAGGGGCCGGGCCACCGGAGTCAGGCCCCGGGTGGAGCACGCATCGGATACTCACGATGAGGTGTCACTTTCCGCCGCGTCGGAAGAAGACTGTGGGCCATCCGATTATGGGTTAGTCGTGAGCCGTGGAGACGAAAGGGGAGACAAGAATCGGGGCCCGGTCTAATGTCCTTCTGATCCTTCCTCTCTGAGGTGAGGTGAGACAAGGAAAGCGGTGAAAATGGGGAAGAGAGGGGAATGCCACTCTGCCAATCGGCTGAGAAAGCGGGAAAACAAGCAATTACAGAGCGAGCGAACGAACGAACATCGGCTTCCAGAGTGACGAGCATGCCAGAGTTTTGCCAGCTCTGGCTGAGATTTCCGCTGCCCCCGCTGGCGCCGCTGGCCACCGGCTTCAGGGCGGCTCCTGTGTCATCGTCGGCAGGCATTTTGATAAGCGAGTCCCGTACCCAGAAACGAGGAGTCCGCGATTGACCACTGCTATGGGGAGACAATGACAAACAAAGTTCTGACACAAGCGCTAGAACGCTATGCGCAAATGCAACACTCAGTACACGAGAAAGCGTATAAATTCAATGAGGTTGTCTTCTCAACTCTGAGAAGACCGGCGATGCTAGACAAAACGGAAATCCCCGCTTTCTCGCGGACGGGCAGACGGCCAGGTGTTCAGTTTTGCTCAGGGTCCGTCGTCCGGAGTGTCCTTCTGAAAAGAGCAGCTGCGAGCATGATGACCAGGGGTTTGACTGGCCAGGCAAACGCGTGCTGGCGGCGTTTCGGCACCGTAAAAGCTCCGTGCTCACATGCTGACGGAAAAGGGGGCTCGTTGTTGTTGTTTGTGAAGAGTTGTCAATGATTCTAAACATGAGGAAAACCACGAGTGGGGACAGGTGTTGCAGTTCTCAAAACAAGAGAAGAGTCTACAAGAGACTTCGCAACTGGAACCAAACCAGCGTTTGAGGTAATTGCTGTTGTCAATAGGTGCCCGTAATAATACTTGAGACCGCAAGACTGGGTCCAGCCAAGCCAAGGCTTGTGGAAACTTGAGTGGCAGAACCGCCTAAATTACGTTAACAATTTTTTTGGTGCTGCGCTATCGTTATCGATTACAGTGGATTACAGCGGGTGCTCTTGCCAAGAGATCCCCCAAAAATTTAGAGACACGGCGGCTGTCGGTCGCACCTGCCGTCGGGGTCGAAATGAGGCCTTGGATTGCGTGCTCGATGGCATTATGCTCGCCATTCGCAGCCGGTATGATAAAACAGGTCATTTACGGAAGGAATGTTCAGTTCCCCTGAAGCTAGGTGAATTCGGCATGCGTAGAGTGGAAGCCTCTGTCAGTTATCAGCCAACTTCCATCTCGCATGCACAGCAGCTATGTGAGGATCGGAACCCCCAAGACGCCCCCCAAAGTGACCTACTGCGTAGAGGACCCAAGGCCCAAGGGGACCTGTCATGCCCACAGTTTTTCCATGTTTATTTCCCCACGGTCGGTTGACGGGCGGCGCTTGTCGGTAGCGTAGCCGGACCGAGCGCGGCTAGAGCTGTCGGCTGTCGGTGCCTTGCCTTAGCCCTTAGGGGAGAAAATCGTAGGCAAAACGGAACCCACCCCCACAACCTACAGTAGCTACTGGACTGGACTGAACCACTGTGGCGGCGTTGGTGAGAACATTTCACATCCGTTATGCAAGGTGAATGTCTGTCTACGGTCTACACACCATACATGATACATGATTAATTCAGTCTTCGTGTTCTCTCAATAATTGTTTCCATGGCTCCTTCCAATAATGTCTCTATCATCTTAGACAAACATTTTTCTTTTCCATTAGGGAAGCGACATCCGGCGGCGTAGTTGCCCTTCCTGACCGACGACCCCGCCTGTCCGCCCCCCGGTCAGTTACCGTCGATCAACGGGGTCCCTGTTAGTGCAGTACCCACCAAGAACAGTCATATTTGTTCTACCAAAATTGAAGTGTGTTTCTCTGCATCATGTTCACATTCCTTTGGTGAGATCTTGTTAGTCTAGATCTTAGATAGTAAATTGAAGAACGACTAGGACAAAGAGAGAGTGTTGAGTCTGATCCCAGATGGTCTCATTTCGATCGATTGCGCAATTATCAACTATCATGTTCCTATCTCTGTTCTGGACCACCTGCCTTACTCGTAACTCACTCGTGAGAGAACGAACTAAGTATTAGATAGATATCCAGGTGTACGTACGGTAATAACGATCTCGGCGATGTCCAGAAGGGTGAAGCGGCGCGGATGCGTAGCGCACTAACAGCGCCACCAGATTAGATAAGCCCGCGGGGCGCGCGCGACAGGCTTTGCCGCCTGGGCCTTCTCGAGGCCTGGTCGCTAGCACGCCATTTCCCCTGCAAAGCAGCAAAGACGGAAAGTTGCACGCTTTTCATGGCAAAAGGATCAACCATTGGCCTAGTTTCGGGGCCGGTCTGATCAAGTCAAATCTCGTCAGCGCAGGCCGGGCTGTACCGGTATTCTGCCATTTGCGGGGAGGCAAGTCCGCAAGTTTGCAAGGTTGCATCAAAGGTCGGGTCACTTTACGCAGTAGGTCGCCGAATGATGAAGAGGGTTACCCAGAGAGATGGATACTACCTGAGGTGTATGTAAATGTTGAGGTGCAGTAGTTGGTTAGCTAGTAAGTTAGTTAGTTAGCTGGAGAGATAGAACAGAGAGAGGCAGAGAGAGGGACAAAGAGAGAGAGAAAACGAAGGGATCCACAGCGGTCAAGTGTCCAACTAACATTAAGCCCGCTAAGGCTCATTAAGCGCTCCACCGCCTGTATTTCGCCATTTTGGGCCTGCATCACACCTCCCACCTTGTCTCTCTCGTCTCGACTCCTCCTCGTCACCTTGCCTCTCTGACTGACGACTGACTGACTGACGGACCACCACGCACTGCACCTGCACCTGCACCCGCACGCCGCCGTATAGCACCCCCACCCCGAAGGCTCGTCCGTTCCTCGCCCACGGTCACCATTGATAAAGAGACGACCACGACCACGAGAACGACGACAGCGGGTTGAACCCCCATATAAGCCCTATAATCCCTACCTACCTGGACAGTCAGACAGGGCTGGTGGCAACCCTGGACTCCAAACGAAGAACAACAACAACAAGAAGAAGAAGAAGCGTGGCAGTCTGTCCTCCGGCGTCGGCATCTGGACAGTCAAGGTGCCCAGACACCCAGACAGACAAAACAGACAAAACAGACTCCCGGACCCCAGATTATACAGTACATTCGTACTGCCGCATAGCATCGCATAGCACAGCCTCGCATCGCATCATATCGCCGCAGGCTTGTGCTTTCGTCCTTTTCGCATTGCGACTCGTCCGCTTCGGATTGCGTGCCCCTCGACCGCTCCCTTTTTGCTTCTGATCTGAGCTGCCCTGTCCTTGTCCTTGTCCGGCTTGGTCTGGTCTCTGGTCTCTGGTCTCTGGCCTTTCTCTGGCTTCTGCCTCTTCCTATCCGCCCGCCCGCCCGCCCAGCACGCCAGCAGGCTGAAGTATCCTGGACCTGGCCCCGGAGCTGGAGCTGGACCTCTACCTCTCAAGCGACGCTACTCCTGGACTTGAACCTGGCCAACGGACAGCTCGGCTGGGCTGGGCGACACCTCCTGTTTGTCAGACCGTCTGCGGGAACATTCCTTCCCCCGAGTCGCTCCTCCTCCACAGTCACCAAAGGCCGTCAGTCGTCTTATTGATTGCATCAGCAAAGACAAGACAGGACTACCGTACCGTATTACTCCCTCCAGGACCACCAGCGGACACACGCCTGCCGTGAGAGTGCTCACTCTCCCCTGTGAGCACGTCATCCTTCGCCGAAACCTTGCCTACCTGCGCGTCCTACCACAGCACACGCTGCTACGAGCCGAAACACACGCAACCGCCACTCCTTCTGTCGCCAATGGCCCGCCCGCCTACGTGCTCTGCTGCCATCGTCTAATCCCCAACCCTAATCTCCCTCCGGAACGCCCTCCGACCGCTCATTTCTCCCTGTCTCTGACTGACTGACTGACTGTCTGTCTCTCGTGCCAGCAGCAGCCCCGTGCGGAGCCTGCTCTGCTCTGCTCTGCTTGCTTCTTTCCTCCTGACTGACAGACAACGCACCCCAGGCCTCCAGGCCCCCAGGCCCCCCAGGTACAAGTACCTGTTACGACCTGCGGCTCTCCCTGCCCATCCCGCTACCATGGACCACCCCTCTACTATATACCTGGCCAACAGCGGGCGTCGCCCGTCCTCGAGAAATAATGACACCGCCTTGCGCCCAAATGACGCCGACTTGACCCATCATCACCACCACCATGATATTAGTCACCACCACCACATCACCTCCTCTCGAACTTCCTCACATCTTACGAGCCCTCCGCAGACCGACGACGATGAGGTAGAAACCTCCTCCGGCCTCGATATCCAGGAGCTGAAGGAGCAGAACTGCGATCGCCGCCGCCCCGAAGAAGACGACCATTCTCGGCTGGACAGGATGTCGGCGGACTTGGTCGGAAAGACGGTGACTCCCTTCTTAAGGGAACATGTCCCCGGCCTGTATGCTCCGGTCTCCAAGATCGACTCGTCGGAGAAGGATGAGTCCAAGACACCGTCAGTAGACACGAACAGCAGATACTGCTATCGACACAGGCCAGACTCAAAATGCAGAAGAGCTGCTGATGAGTCTAAGATGGCCAAGATCCAATCGGTAAGATGCCCCTATTGTTCACTGCCTGCAAGCTGGTTAGCTGACCCTTCTCGCTATAGGAACTTGACAAATTGCCGTCTGCTGACCAACAAGCCATCACAACCATATGGAGTCTCTTCTCAGCAGCTCCGTCAAAGCATAGAGAGCTGATGCTACAGGGTGTCATCACCCAGCTCTGCTTCCCTCAACTCTCGCTCATCTCTCGTGAGGTACACGATCAGCTTAAGATCGACTTCCTCACCGCTTTTCCGACAGAAATATCCTACAAAATCCTATGTTATCTAGACTCAACAAGTCTATGTTCAGCCGCTCAGGTCTCAAGGAGGTGGAGACAGCTGGCTGACGACGATGTTGTTTGGCACCGGTTGTGCGAGCAGCACATCGATCGTAAATGTACCAAGTGTGGGTGGGGACTACCGCTTCTGGAGAGGAAGCGACTCCGAGATTGGACAAGGCAAAAGCAAGCTCAGACCCAGCGACAAGAGGAGGCCGCAGCCGCCGCTGCAGCTGCAACAGAATCGGAACCAGAACACCACATCCCCACCACAAAACCACCTCTACCGCCTGCACCTAACACGCCTCGCTCTCCTGGGTCGCCCAAGCGTGATGCTAGCTACTTCGACTCGGATGGCCCTGCAAAGAGGCAATGCGTAACCCGCGTCGGTTCCTCTGAGCAGACCAGCTCCCAGGAGCTGCGCAAATTTCGACCCTGGAAGGATGTTTATCGAGACAGATTCAAGGTTGGGTCCAACTGGAAGTATGGTCGGTTCAACTTCAAATCATTCCGTGGACATACGAACGGTGTCACCTGCCTTCAACTTTCTGCCGATGATAATATCCTGGCCACTGGAAGCTATGACGCCACCATCAAGATATGGGACGTCGAATCGGGCGAGGTGATTCGTGAGCTGAAGGGTCACACACGTGGCATCCGGACACTGCAGTTTGATGACAGCAAGCTCATCAGCGGAAGCTTGGATAAGACCATCAAGATCTGGAATTGGCATACCGGTGCTTGCCTTGCTACAATCCAGGGCCACACTGAAGGCGTCATCAGCGTGAACTTTGATGGCGACGTCGTCGCGTCTGGTTCCATTGACTCTACGGTGAAGGTCTTCAATTACAAGACGAAGCAGAGCTTCTGTCTTCGAGGCCACACAGACTGGGTCAACCAAGTTAGACTCGACATGGGGAGCCGCACGTGCCTGTCTGCCTCAGATGATTGCCGCGTCATCCTCTGGGACTTGGACACGAAGCGGCCCATTCACATATTCGAAGGACACGTTGGCCATGTTCAACAAGTCTTGCCCCTCCCGCCGGATTTCGAACCAGATGATGATCCAACACTGGTTGGAGCAAACGACAATGATGCAGTGTCTGTAGCGAGCGGACGCAGCTCGACGCCCGCTCTCTGCTACTCCTCGTCAAACTCGTCATCGTCGTTCCTGCAGACTGACAGTGCCTACAATGGCCATACCCACACCGCTACATCCGTCAGCCCGGATGGTGATGTCCGCGCGTTCTACGGCCCGGGATTCACGAGTGACCCATCACGGCCCCTGCCCAGCCGATATATTCTTACGGGTGGTCTGGACAGCACTATTAGATGCTGGGACACTGCCACTGGCAAGTGTTTGAGGACCTTTTTCGGGCACCTTGAGGGCATTTGGGGCCTAGTTGGCGACACCCTCCGTGTTGTCAGCGGCGCAAATGACGGAATGGTGAAGGTGTGGGAGCCCAGATCGGGCAAATGCGAGAAGAGCTTCACTGGTCACCTGGGTCCCGTTACTTGCGTCGCCCTCAGCGACTCACGTATGGCATCCGGAGGTGAGGATGGTGAAGTGAGGTTGTATTCTTTCCAGGATGTGGTGGGCGAAGGCACCCCTGGCTTAGCATAAGGGCGCAGGAGAAGGCACATAGTCTGTGCACAGTCGTTTATTTTACTCCGGGGCGCTTCATTCGTCCTTTTACGTCATATACCCTTTCGCTTGGATCGTACGGAAGGTAGTGAAAGTCTCTGGAAGGTATGAGACCGCATGGCGGCGCGCAGTTTTTGTTTCTCACATCTTGAACTTTGCATGGAAGGCGGCGTTGAAAACCGGGCACCGGTTACACAAAATTGGATAGAGGTAGGATGGTCTATCTACTGTCACATTTCTGGAGTCAAATATCGAATTTATATCATCTACGTCAACGTGTTCCAAAAGGCTCGCTTTGTGATGCATCTCATGTGAAATGCGATCAAATCCTCTGTCCACCACCATCGAACAGCATGACATCCGTGGAGAGGACGGCACTCCTCGGATTGCAATGTCCGTCGCGGTTCTCAAACTCGCTATCTGTCAGCCCAGCAACTCTCACATCTACCCAGTAGTGATCGGCCCTCCGAACACGTCAGACGAGATAGCTGAGCTAACGTGAGTACATAACACAACCACGTCAGTCGCCAACTCGACAATTCAGAGGTTGCCTCGCAGCGCTGTAGATAATCCGAAGCTGCCAGATAGGTGCCTGACCGCCACGCTGGTAAGACCGCTGACGAGTAGTCAGAACTGCAAGTAGGCTATGAAGGTAATGACCAGACACCATTATCGGTGTATGAGTGTCTGCTAGGCCCAGCCTGGTCAGCAGGAGCCGCGTCGGAGTAATTCCTGTAAGTAGGCAGCAAGCACATATAAGAGGTGGTCGACAGGAGGTTGCCAAGCCAGGATGGAACCCGTGAGTTTGATATCCCTTCAACTCGCTATTTGTGCTGCAAACTCAAGATGAAGCTGTTCGACATTATAGTCTTTGGTGCACTAGCCGCACCGATCCTGGGTCTCCCGACTGACACCTCGTCGACGAAGCGGGTTATCATAGATCCGTATCGTGATTGCCAGACGAAGCCTATCAATCCGGTGTGTATCCAGGCTATTCCTCGGGGTGTTGATGCAGCCGTTACGGCCGAGGTATGTTCTGCTAACTTCCAGAAGGTTAGACCGTGATAGAAGCTCGCGAGTTCGAGAGAGGAAGTGTCCACCGACCAAGCAACATTGCCATCAGCAAAATGCATGATGTGATTAGAATGAACCCAGATTAAGGTTGCAAATGGGAAGGTGTGGATTATGGTCAGAGGTGGCCGCTTGTTTAGGAAAAGGCTGAGAGCTATCTCCTTGATTGAGCCCATAATGATCTAGGTTTGAGAAGACTTATAGACTCATGCCGCAAGGAAATCTCAGAAGGAATACAGCGTGAGCCTGCAATTTATTCTCAAGACTACACTGTTATGGTTTGTTAGACAAACCTCAGCGAAATCTAGTGTTGACTAGGACACAACGACGTATTGCTCCAGAGACGATCTATATTACAAAAGTCACTCCCATTATCAATCAAATTGTGCTCCTACTCCCATCAGATCATCTTTCATTCGTTGTAACCATCCGGGCTTGAAGAAAAGCCGTGAATGTGAACTCTCCGTGTGTGGATCCAGATGTGACCGCTCAGTCAATGGAATCCTAACTGACAACGAAGAGGCAACACTAGACCATTGTATTCCGTTGAAAAAAGGACCCCTGTTCCAGTCCCAGTCGCCTGGTATCAGGCACGGTTGTCAGTCGGTTTCGCGGCTGAAGACAGGTGTCACAGGGATCTCATTGCCTCACCATTCAGTCGAAGAAGACTCGTGTATGGCCGAAGATTGACCCGGGTGATGCGTCCTATTGAAGCCATGGTACGCAATGATTCGTGGACCGAGGTGCGACCTCGGTGTGAAGCGGGAGTTGTGCAGCTTCTGAAAATGGTGTGGTGCTCTGACGACTGAGGAAGGTAAGGCGACCTCTTGGATGTTCTACCGGGACGAGATGCAGGCTTCAGGGTATGCAGCTGTGCAGGGATCGCAGCTTGGTTACCTTATCTACACCTCCGCCAGGGTA